GTCCCGCCCAGGTGCACTTCAAGGAATTACAGCCCGTTCTAAAACTTTTTTGGGGAACTCCGGCAATGACCTGCCATGTCGCAGCCAGAAAAATCGGAGCCCGAACAGTTTCTTGATCCGCACGCGTGTAAACAAGTCCCCCCCCCAAAAAAAAAAAATATATGAAAGGATAAGGGCCAGCCCCTCAATGATGGAGGCGTCGGCCTTGCCCACTTGCGCCATTTTGAAGCAGAACACTTGCTCAACAGAAAGGTGTCTCTGAAAGGCACTTGAGCTCCTTGAGCAAAAAACACCTTGGTGGAGCCGAGGCAACGAGCCAGTTTGCATATCGGAGCCCGAAAAGCTTCTCTTTGATCCTCACAGATGGTTAACATGCTCCCAATCAGCCAACAAACATTTTTTCCCGAGCCCGGAAAAGTAGTTTTTAGAGTTGTCTTTTGAAACTGCCCTCGCCAAATGCATTCCCGGATTCCGCTATTGTTTGGGGGGAGGGGAGCTGAGGCTATGACCTGCCAGGTTGCAAGTCGGATTGGGGCCCGGCCTCAATCAACTCGTCTTCTGCTTGGTCTCAACGCAGATTGACCCTCGGGCGTGCGCCGCTTGACACGGTCGCAGTTTGTGCGTAGCTTTTCGGAAGCTGCGCGGAAGCTATGTCAAGCCCTCCCTGCTCTGTCCGAGCCTCCAGCTGGTCGAATGCTGGGGGTCGCTGGCCTGCTGCGTTGGCTGAGCTCGTATCAGTGGTTGCGGTTTTGGCCCTTCCTTGTCACTGTGTTTCCGCACGTGCCTGCTAGATGGGAAGCGAAAAAACAACTTTTCAAGCTCCAACATTATTTGCTTCTCATGCCAGTCAAACATTGGGGCCCGGCCTCCACCAAATCGCCTCGTGGTCTCGCCACAGTCTCTCCTCCTGGCATTCTTCTTCCTCTGAAGTGCCCAACCACTTGTTGTCTCACGAAGCACGGCTTGCGCCGCGCGCTGGTTCGCAACCCGAGCAGTCTCTTGGCCTTCGTAACTGAACTGGGCAGTGTCAAAGCTGTTTGCCCTTCATTTTTTTTGTTTGGCCGCTCCTCATACAGTCCCCGTAATTTCGCTCCTGCGCACCGAGATCTTCATGCGCCTCCAAGCAAGCTATTGCTTTGTGAATCGTTTCCAATGTTTCGTCGCTGTGTGCATTTGCGCGTGCTTTGTCAGCAGACAAACAACTGCTTCGTGCCTCCCTGCCGCTTTCTTGGAGAGACCAGGCACGAGCAACCTGACATGACGCGTAAGCTATTCGTAAGCTGATGGAAGCCTCTGCAAGCGACGACAGGAAGCTCGAGCAATTTAGCAGGTTTTTGTCCATTGCTCATCTTTCGCCAGGTGTCTCCGGAGCTCTTCCTACCGGAGAACTTTTGCGGGTGCCTACCCGGCTGGGCCGGCGCCAGCACGAGCTGCAAGAGGTGGATCGGCCACATGGAACCAGTCGTCCGATCGAAGGGAACAGCCATCAAGGAGCGACAGACTCAAAACAGGTGTAGATGACACAATAGCAAGCTGGAGTTCATAGGGCGTCACCTCTGCCACAGCATTGAGGAGAGACAAAGCTGTGCTTGCGAAGACCCTCACCCCCGGGGCTCAGTTCTTGGTAAGCCTTTGGGCTTGCCCAATATATTCATGAACACCTCCCCAAAACGCGCACGCCCTTGGGGGAACCAAGGAATGTCCTTTTCAACTAACCCAAAGTCACTAAAATTCCCGCGGTGACAAAACATCCAAAAGCGTCGAACAAACTGCCATTTATAAAAGGACTCCCGCTCAACGTCCAAAACCCAAGGGGGGCATAATCCTTGTGATAATATCACTGCATTGTTGCTTGAAGGGGGTTGCCCCGGTATCCTATGTGGGCCTAAATCGTGGCCCAAATGGTGGTTGAGGTGGTTGAGGTGGTTGAGGTGGTTGAGGTGGTTGAGGTGGTTGAGGTGGTTGAGGTGGTTGAGGTGGTTGAGGTGGTTGCGGTGATGGCAGCTTGTGGTGATGGTGGTTGTGCTTGGCTGTTGGTGACGTGGTGGTTGTTGGTTGCCTAAATGAACCACTTGGAAATTTGCGAAGCTTTTGGTGGCTTGAATGTGCTATACTTGGTGGAGACTTAGACTGTAAACCAGAGGCTAGGCTGCACACATCTAAAGGTTTTGTACACCACGTCATCATACCCTTGAAGGGAGGCCCTGAGGAAATTGCCTCGGCAGCACTATCTAATCTTCTCCCGCACTTTGTTGAATTGGGGTAGGAGAGGCAGTGTTTCCGGATCACTCAAGCCCCTGATGCTTAACTCTTTGAACATGAGGCTTTGCTTCCTTAAATCGGGAGCTGAACATCGGCTGGTTTTAGTACCGAGGACCCTTGCGAGAGCAGCATCATTCGCAACGCACCAGTTCTGGAAACTGCAGAAAACCAACCCGCCCCTGTTACCGGTAGTTGGTGCTCTTTTTGGGATCATTTCAAACGGAGAACACGACAAAAAAGGAGAAATACCCGTATTTCAGCGGCTTTCCTTCGCGTTTCACTTGTCGGGATCTCGTTTTCGCAGTGCCCCAATGTTGGGAATGCACCCATTTGTGCTTTCTTCCCCTGATCTCAAGCTTCCCTCAAAGGAAACTGAACCGGTGATGTTCAAAGCCGCAAATGCCAACCCATTCTTGGTACAGGGTTTCATACCGATGAGAGGAAGCGACTATGACTGCGGGGCGTTGTACTTAAGTCCTAGTAGTTTCGGGGGGAATCATCTTAGATTCAACAGGCAATCGCGCCAGAAAGTGGAGCATTGCATGTGTCAAAACCGAGCAACGTCCCCAAGGCCTAGGACCCATGCAGGTTTCCTTTCAAAGCGACCCCCAAAAGGAACCAACTCCAAAGGACCAACAAAGGAACAACGATCTCTCACATTTCAAGGAAACCCCGCCGTCTGGAGCTAACTTCTAGCCCAACTCGAGGTGCGCGAATGACACTTACAGCGAGCGCTTCAACAGCAGCACCTGCAGAGCTTGCCCGGCCCATTCAACCTCCATCGCAGCTCGAGCAGAGGGGTTTGCCGGGCTGTCTTTGCTGGTCGTTTAAAGGCGACTAGGAGACTAGATGAGTTTCAAAGATTCGAACTCCGGTTCAATGCTGGATGTTTGAACCCGATTTTTGGGTTGCCACTCATCGAAGCGGAACTTGGACCCAGGGCAAGGCATTCCTTTGGATTTCTTGCTTGGGAATTCCTTCGTGCCGTTTTGAGCATCACCGGTTGTGCCGATTTACGACGTTTCCTTTGGGTGGTAGGGCTTGACATTTCAGGGACCATGTTGGTCAGGCTCGTTTGAGGGGTTCTAAACGGGTTCCAGCTTAAGGAGAATTCATGTTGCCCATTGAACAGGGCACAAGTTGAAATTTCCAGTTTCCTAGCAAAAGGACGGCCGATGCCTCAGGCGGGTTCCAGTTCGGTGGAGATGTGCACCTGCAACTTCGGCAAGATCCACCTGGATCCGACGGAGGCCTTGGAAGCGTTTTTTTCAAGACGCCGCCTTAAGGCCTCTCCAGGATCAGGGTCTGATTGTGCGGTTTGCGTCGACTTACATGTTGCACCAAGCAAGTACTTGTTTTGAATCGCATTTTGCATTTGAGCTTGCTGAGTTGTCAGGTTCTTGTTTGAATGCCCAACAAACCCCCGTCTTTTTTGCCGATGAGAGCTCTTTCTGTCTCCGCAGGGTGATTACGTCTGCGGCTGTGTGGAGGGCCAGGCCAGGCCGAGGGGGTGAGGTGTGGCTTTTCAGTGACACCGTTGTTTGCTTCATTCTTTGGTTTTTGGGGCTTCATCCCTTTTCATTCTACCTGCCTCGCTGGAAACTGGGCTTTGCAGCGAAACCAAAAGGAACGGCAACCATTTACGGGGCGGGGCTCCATTGCTGAATGTAGAGACAAGCTTGGTTCGACGCAAATTCTTTCGATCCCGAGAAAAGCACTCGCTTTTCAGACCGCTGGGAGGGAACGTTGTCAACTGAGGGGATCTTTCGAAAAGGAACTTTGCCGAAGTATTCATGGCTGTCATCATTTTGTAGTCCGGATTTGCAGCGTTCAATATTTGTCTGGGGGGATCACATTGAAACATGCCACTTTGCATCACAACAATACTTATATCATTTTCAACGTCCGTATTCGTTGCGTAGCCGGGCCCGTGTTGGCGTAAACAAGCAGAACTCGCGGCTTTGGGAAACCAACTGGAAATGATTTGAGAAACTGTTGTTTTCACGCATGCTTTATGCAGGCGCTCGGCGTACCCCTAGCTAAGACTTCAAACGGGCTAACTTTTTTCAAGGAAGGTGAGAAAGGTGACTTAGCAGCAGTTTGGAGGGCGGCCTCTTCATCGCCCCTTCTGGTTGGATCCCTTTTTGGTTGCCATTGTAAAAGCCAAGGATGAATCCACGTTTCAGGGTGTCCCCCCATCCTCAAAACCCAGTCACTCACTATTCGGGTTTCCCAACAGGGCCCCCTTAGCAGGTTCACTATTGGCCACCGCCTTTTTAGCCAGTCGCGCCATTCGTCTATCCTTGGGTTGACAAAATCAGGCACTTCTTCAATTAAAGCAATGCTAACAGGCCCTTGTCATCAAGCAACTATGGTTCGGACATCTTTCTGTTCTCCTTTTCCTTCGCATAGTGATCAGCATCCACTTCCCTATGGAGTACCTCTTTATATTCTTACATACCCTTGGCTGCCATTTGGTTGGATGAATTTTAGAACTTTCGCGCAGGGGGTAACTGCTGGTTTGGAGCACGACACTTGCCTTCCCTCCCAAAGGCGCTGCAGGGCAGGAGCTGCGTGCCCTGCTTGGAGCTCCACCTGAACTGCTTCTCGGCCTCGGAATCTCCGGGGGACTCGGAACGGCGAGTTGGGCGCAGAGGTCCTTTCCAGGCGCCAGTTGGATGGACGAACTCCATGCCAGGCGCCAGTTGGCCCTATGGAGGTCTGGGTTGATCCACCACCTGACTGGTGCAGAATGTTGTTCTTCCAAAAGTGTCATATCGGGCTACCCTTTAGCGATTTGGTTGGGGCAAGTTGAAAGCCTGGTACCTATTTTAAATAGGCAGAGACTAACCAATCCAAACCCCCGCCTGGGAAGCTGATAAAGTCCCCAGCTGTGTCTGTGCGGGGGGGGGGGACGCTTTGGGACTTCCAATGGCGATATTTGGCGCCAAAACAATCCAGCTAAGTCCCAACCCAGGCCTCATGCGAAGCTAGTAGTTTTTTTTTTTGTCTATTCCAAGCTAGGATGGTTTTGGATCTCAAGTGGACCTTTCGAACATCTTCAAGGGGCCCCGGCCCCGGTCCAAAATATGGCTGCGCCAAATCGAAACGGGACCCAACCGACAAGTTTCTGCTTTTGGCTTCCTAAGACATCAACTGTGGGGAAATTTGTCATGTGGAGTGGTTGCGATGGAGGGCCCAGTTCTTTGTCAAAAGACAGCCGCAAATCAGGCCTCGACAACCATAGGAGTTGAAGATGGTTGCAGGACCAAACACATCGGTTTGTTTTACTTGTTTCTCTCTATTGTTGCTTTGGTCTTTTGGGAAAACACCAGGCGTCTGTGGTTCAAAACCAATGGTACCATTTTGGGGTTGGTGCACCACCCATTTTAGTCTATTTTAGTGGGGATTGGGATGTTCACTGGGGGTCCGGGATTCTGACCCATTTGATTTGGAACCCAACCGCGACCGAAGCTGAGCGGTTTGAGTCCGGAGGCTCCGCGCCGAGCGCCGTGGCCGCCAAAGCGCCGCCGCTCCGCGGCTGGGCGCGCCTGGAGCGCGCGACGGAGCGGACCTTCAGGCGAGGCTTGACCTGGACTTTGCCGCCTTTTTGCCTTAACTGGGGTCAGTATTTTCACGGTTGGGGGTTATTTGAAAGTCAGAAGATGTGGGTGTTTCCCTTTAACCCATCACTTAGGGGGTGACTTTGATCATGGTGAAATAATGAGGCCAGCTTCAGCAACAAAAGTTGGCCCCTCGTGCAGAAGCCTTGACTCTTAGGTGTGCCCAGATTCTCCTTTCCAATCCCTGTCAGCAAAACTGAGGGTTCCCTGCAGCTCCCCCCACTTGGGCAGAAACACAACACGTATGACCAGAACCAACACAGGAATTCAGCAAACGAAGTCCATCAAGTCTTGGCCTCGACGAGTCACGATGAGACTGCGATATTGAGGCAGTGGCATTGAGCGGCTGCTTTGGAAGAAGAACCCTTCGCAGTGGTTTCGGGAACAAGAGAAACCGAAAGAGAAAGAGAAGGTGAAAGACGAGTTGATTCCTAGGTGGATAGACAGACACACAGTCAGATTCACAGTCAGACAGGTCGATGAATAGATAGATATCCGATAGGGGATGCCCCAAAAAACGATAACCCTAAAGCGTGATACTTGCATCTGGGCTGAGATGTGGCATGATTCATTGGTAGCTGTGTTTCCGAGGTATTCCGGCCAGAAGTAGTTGCTTAGGTCTCTTAGCTGTTTTTACTGTGGGGTTGGGAGCATGACCAAGCGCTTGAAGACTATGAGAGAGCTGAGTGTCTAATCAGTTCACACGGGTCCCAATGGTGGGCGCAAAAAGACATACTGTGGGAGACAGGCAGTGGCATCGGCAACAACGGGTCCAGATGGTTTTTTTCCCTCTCCAGAACAAAGCACCAACCGATACCCCAACCGATACTCCGAACCTAAACCCTCACTTGTCCCACGTGACATGTGAGAAGCAGGCCAAACACTCCGTATAAGAGACATGCCCAAAACTCAGCGATCCCGCAACTCCGCAGGTGCCTTGAGCCGGCGGAGGACCGCTGCAGGAACGGCACAGCCTTGAGCGCCTGCGCAGCTGGCGGCTGGATGTGTCGAAGGGGGACCGACTTTTTGCTTTCCCTTTCAAGGACAAGGGCACCCTCAAAAGGCCAACCTACCACTTCCACTACGTAAGCTTTGTGCCCCAAGCGCTCCGCCGGAGGTCCCTAAAAACCCTTTGCCCTGTTGTGTGAGCACCTTCTGAGATCAAGCTTACAGAGGAAAAGGCCAGCACCCCAACAAGGGTTCTGAGCCCGAACTAGCGGGGCTCCGCCAGGCATAGGATGATGCAGCTCCACCGCAGGGATGGCTCCTTCTAGGGATGTTAGTTCCACCGCAGGCCTTTGTGCCTCCAATGTCTCTAAGTGCCAATGCTTTCTTCTCCAAATTGCTCCAAAAGCATTGCGCGCCAAGCGACAGGGGTTCCTTATATGTCCTTTTTGGCTGATTTAAGCATCGCCTTTTGGTTGCCTTTCGCACGAGATGTTTCATGGGCACACATTGTACGTGAGGGGACAACCCATTCCCGCAAAACGAGGGGGACGAACGCCGACTTTCCCTTCTTTTGGGAACTTGCGCAATTTCATAGGATCCTTGAGTGAGCTTTGCCCACATCGGCCCCAGGCTATGACGGCCCCCTGTGCGTGATCTGCGCTCCCGGCTTTCGCTCGGCGGGCAGCCTCTGCAACTGGGCCAAGGTTTGCTAACGTCGGTGGACAAGATGAAGCAATCCTACCTCGGTGGTTTGACACTAAAGCAACCCCTTGTGAATAACTGCACCCCCCAAACCACCAACTCAGGTGCCCCTCATTGTTGAAAAGATGTTTGACCAACTATTCAAATTGGATTTCTTTCCCCAGATCCTAGGTCCAAAGTGTCCAAAGGTTCAATCCTTCTTGGGTTGAACCCAGATGTTTTCAAGATCTCACTCAGGAAGGTTCCGGGTTCGAGGGGATGAGCCCTACCATCCCGTGTTTCCTCGTTTTCGGTTCATTCCCAAAGCTCCAAGGCCGACCTGAAATGGGTTCTAACAATTGGGTTCCTTTCGGATACACATGATTATCCCGTCGAAACCCGTAAGGACCCGTTCAACAGGTCGTCGGGTCTGATTGAGAACCGGCAAGTCAGAGGGGTGTTTGCATCAAACAAGGGGAAAAACAGGACCCCACTTTTTGGTTGGTTTCCTCTTGGTTTCCCTTGGAAACCCCAACCAAAAGCAAAAGGCAGCAAAACCCAGGGTTCTTTCTATGTTTCCTTTCACTTCAGAGGAACCCCCAACCCCAACCGGAAGAACCGAAAAATAATACCCACCATGTTTGCGGTCACCATTCTGTATATGTATTTGTCAATTTAGTTATGTTTGTATGTATGTATGTATGTATGTATGTAATGTAATGAAAGGTAATGTAAAGTAACGTGACGTAACGTAACGTAACGGAACATAACGTGATGTATGTAATGTAATGTAATGTAATGTAATGCAATGCAATGCAATGCAATGCAATGCAATGCAATGCAATGCAATGCAATGTAATGTAATGTATGTAATGCATGTAATGTAATGTAATGTAATGTAATGTATGTAATGTATGTATGTATGTAATGTAATGTAATGTAATGTAATGTAATGTAATGTAATGTAATGTAATGTAATGTAATGTAGTGTAGTGTAATGTAATGTAATGTAATGTAATGTAATGTAATGTAATGTAATGTAATGTAATGTAATGTAATGTATGTAATGTAATGTATGTATGTATGTATGTATGTATGTAATGTACTGTAATGTAATGTAATGTAATGTAATGTAATGTAATGTAATGTAATGTATGTATGTAATGTATGTATGTATGTATGTATGTATGTATGTATGTATGATGTATGAATGAATGTATGTATGTATGTATGTATGTATGTATGTATGTATGTATGTATGTATGTATGTATGTATGTATGTATGTAATGTATGTATGTATGTATGTATGTATGTATGTATGTATGTATGTATGTAATGTATGTATGTATGTATGTAATTAATGTATGTATGTATGTATGTAATTAATTAATGTATGTATGTATGTATGTAATTAATGTATGTATGTATGTATGTATGTATGTAATGTAATGTAATGTAATGTAATGTAATGTAATGTAATGTAATGTAATGTATGTATGTATGTATGTATGTATGTATGTATGTATGTATGTATGTATGTGTGTGTGTATGTAATGTATGTATGTATGTATGTATGTATGTATGTATGTATGTATGTATGTAATGTATGTATGTATGTATGTATGTATGTATGTATGTATGTATGTATGTATGTATGTATGTAATGTATGTAATGTATGTATGTATGTATGTATGTATGCTGTATGTATGTATGTATGTATGTAATGTATGTATGTATGTATGTAATGTAATGTATGTATGTATGTATGTATGTATGTATGTATGTATGTATGTATGTATGTATGTATGTATGTAATGTATGTATGTATGTATGTATGTATGTATGTATGTATGTATGTATGTATGTATGTATGTATGTATGTACGTAATGTATGTATGTATGTATGTAATGTAATATAATGTATGTATGTATGTATGTAATGTATGTATGTATGTATGTATGTATGTATGTATGTATGTATGTATGTATGTTATGTATGTTATGTATGTATGTATGTATGTATGTATGTATGTAATGTAATGTAATGTAATGTAATGTAATGTAATGTGTGTATGTATGTATGTATGTATGTATGTATGTATGTATGTATGTATGTATGTATGTATGTATGTATGTATGTATGTATGTTATGTATGTATGTATGTATGTATGTATGTATGTATGTATGTAATGTATGTAATGTATGTATGTATGTATGTATGTATGTATGTATGTATGTGTGTATAAGTGTATGTATGTTATGTATGTATGTATGTAATGTAATGTAATGTAATGTAATGTAATGTAATGTAATGTAATGTATGTATGTATGTATGTATGCTTGTATGTATGTAATGTGTGTATGTATGTATGTAATGTATGTATGTATGTATGTATGTATGTATGTATGTATGTATGTATGTATGTGTGCAATGTATGTATGTAATGTATGTATGTATGTATGTAATGTAATGTAATGTAATGTAATGTAATGTAATGTAATGTAATGTAATGTAATGCATGTATGTATGTCTCTATGTATGTATGTAATGTATGTATGTATGTATGTATGTATGTATGTATGTAATGTATGTATGTATGTATGTATGTATGTATGTAATGTAATGTATGTAATGTATGTATGTATGTAATGTAATGTAATGTAATGTAATGTAATGTATTGTAATGTAATGTAATGTAATGTAATGTAATGTAATGTAATGTAATGTAATGTAATGTAATGTATGTATGTAATGTATGTATGTATGTATGTATGTATGTATGTATGTATGTATGTATGTAATGTATGTATGTATGTATGTATGTATGTATGTATGTATGTATGTATGTATTGTAATGTATGTATGTATGTATGTATGTATGTATGTATGTATGTATGTAACGTATGTATGTATGTATGTATGTATGTATGTAATGTATGTATGTATGTATGTATGTATGTATGTAATGTAATGTAATGTAATGTAATGTAATGTAATGTTATGTATGTAATGTATGTATGTATGTATGTATGTATGTATGTATGTATGTATGTATGTATGTATGTATGTATGAATCTATGTGTCTATGTGTCTATGTATCTATGTATGCATGCATGCATGTATGTATGTATGTATGTATGTATGTATGTATGTATGTATGTATGTATGTATGTATGTATGTATGTATGTAATGTATGTATGTAATGTATGTATGTATGTATGTATGTACGTATGTACGTATGTATGTATGTATGTATGTATGTATGTAATGTATGTAATGTATGTAATGTATGTAATGTATGTAATGTATGTATGTATGTATGTATGTATGTATGTATGTATGTATGTATGTATGTATGTATGTATGTATGTATGTATATATGTATGTATGTATGTATGTATGTAATGTATGTATGTATGTATGTATGTATGTATGTATGTATGTATGTATGTATGTACGTAATGTATGTATGTATGTATGTATGTATGTATGTATGTATGTATGTATGTAATGTATGTATGTATGTATGTATGTATGTATGTATGTATGTAATGTATGTATGTATGTATGTATGTATGTATGTATGTATGTATGTATGTATGTATGTATGTAATGTATGTATGTATGTATGTATGTATGTATGTATGTATGTATGCATGTATGTATGTATGTATGTATGTATGTATGTATGTATGTATGTATGTATGTATGTATGTATGTAATGTATGTATGTATGTATGTATGTAATGTATGTATGTATGTATGTATGTATGTATGTATGTAATGTATGTATGTATGTATGTATGTATGTATGTATGTATGTATGTATGTATGTATGTAATGTATGTATGTATGTATGTATGTATGTATGTGTATGTATGTATGTATGTATGTATGTATGTATGTATGTATGTATGTATGTATGTATGTATGTATGTATGTATGTATGTATGTAATGTATGTGTGTATGTACTGTAATTTAATTTAATGTAATGTAATGTAATGTAATGTAATGTAATGTAATGGTATGCAATGTAATTTAATTTCATGCAATGTAATGTAATGTAATATAATGTATGTATGGAGCGTATGCAATGTTGCCTTTTATATATATAGATATATTAATTTATTCATTTGAATCACACACCGGCATTTATCGAACACCAACAGACAACACAGCAGCAAGTTGGTGGGTTGTTCATCGAAGGCAAGCCCTGCGCCAACTTCCGCCAGAGCCGTCGCGGGGTTCTGGCGTTTGGTGCTGCGCTGAGCGTAGCGGCTCTGGTGGCTGGGGTGGTGCTGTGGCGCAGGTGCGTTCCGAGCGAGGCGTTTCTTTTAGAAGTAGGGACTCCATTCACGTGGTTGGTTTCCTTCTGGTTTTCCCTTGGGTTTCAGAGAAGGAGACCGCTATATAGTTTGAGAAACTCCCACGAAAATGGCGGCCCAAGACAGATCAACTGGTTGACTTTGTTTGGTACTGCCTGGGGAACTACCAACCTTTTTTAGCAGGGCGGTGGGCGTGAAGTCTTGGGCCATTACTCCCTTGTTTTGGGGGGTTGCTTCCCAGATTGACATGGAGCTCAGCAAGTCCTCATTTGAGAACTCTCCTTTTGTGGACCCCTTTGTATGGGCCTGTTTTTGTCTGCTTCTCAAAGTCAGAAACCGGATTTGCAAAGTTTCGCTTTCACTAGGGGAGAGGTGGAGACCACCCCGCGAGGCGAGCGGCACTCGCGGCGCTGGCGGCGCCGGCGTCGCCACCGCCGGAGCCGCGTGCCCGGGACGCGGTGCTGCAGCTGCTATGCACGGCAGGGCCTCTGCTGCTGCAGCTGGGCCAGCTGCGGCTCGCATGGGTCTGTGAAGATTGGGCATGGCGCGTCGCATTTTGAGATCTCCAAGTTACTAGGGGTTGCTTTCCTCAAACACGATTTTGGGTGAGGATGTCACTTTGCCGGACCCAGTGTTTGGGACCGCAGTAAACTCTTAAGGCCTTTTTGGCGGCTTATCCTTGGCCACTTCTCCGCTCATGATGAAAGGCCATCGCTACCTTGTTGCGATCTCTTGATCAGATCGGTGAAATGCTGCATCCAGTGCAGAACCGTCTTGGCAACTCTTTGCTGTGACCGAACTGACTAGTTCAGGGGAGCTCACCAATGATTCTGGAATCTTATGAAAACTATTTTTTCAAATCCAAAGGGGTTCTTACGGTTCGTAGAGGAAAATGTGAGGGCCTAGATACACCTGTGAGGGCCGAGACAAATCCGCGTGGCCTAGACAGACCTTTATCTTCGTTGTGCTTTGTACAACCATTGTAAACATCTTTTTCGTTCATGACGAATGCTTTCAACCACGAATTACATTTGAAGCCATCAAAGATTGGACTTGCTACACATTGGTAAACAATTGGATGCCGCATCCCAAGCAACTCGCAAGTGGCCAGAGGGAAGTTGAGACCGAGGTGGGTGGTGGTGTCCGCACTGGCGATGGGCGCTCGAGTGGAGAGCAGGGTGCAGGAGGCTTGTATTTTTCTCTTTGCCACAGACCATCGTGCCCAAACGCGCAGATTGGGCTGATCATTTGTGCAACCCTGTTTGCAGCCCAAGAAAAAGAGCCAGTGCTTCATCTGAAGCGAAAAGAACGACGGTAGCATCTTAAATCACGCTGCTGCATTTCAAGCAGATTCTGCGCGTGCCCATTTTCAAAAAGAGGATTCGTCGGTATGCAGTTGATTTTCTCATGGATCCTGTTTCGGGAAATAATGCTCAAAGCAGACAAGCACACGGAGCTCCCTCATTGCATGTCGATTAATTTCTTATGTGTGGAGACAAGCTGTTCGAGAAGGAAATCATGGCCAAGCTTTGGACAGGTTTTCAAGTTGGATTAAAAGATGAGAATGATTGCCTCTTCGTTGGACGGCGTTGAACAAAATGGTTAGAATATTGATGTCCATCAACATGTTGGGTTGACGGGGAGGGTTTGCCCGGACTTTCATGCTGCCCGCTGCCCCGCGTATGGCGACCCTCCGCGTGTTCGCAGCTGTCGAGAGGGGGGTGGGAACGGGGGGGGGATGGAAAGAAGACAGGTCCATGTTTCCAGCAACCCGTGTTTTAAACTAGTCGACCTCGAGCCCCCAACCCTACACGCCATGTGACTTTTCCGCTATCTGCACGCTCTACGCGACTGCATAGTCCCATTTGCTTATCTGACACGCTGCCACTTTGCCGCAGGTGGTTTTAGACACCTGGTGTCTAAGAGAGTTGGGGTCTTCTTGCGTTTGAAGAAGCTACCTTCCCGAATGCTGGTCTTTGTCTCCGCTGCGCCCTCGGTACCGAGCAGGAACGAAGTTCTGCCAGTAAGTTATCCGCGCGGCTCATGGCTTGTGTGCTTCGCATACACAAGGCAGCCCGGCCTGGACGGCTGCATGAAAGTGTTGGTGGCACTCTCACTACGAGGTCAAGCCACAGTCCTGGAGCCTGCTTCGAGCAAATGAAAATGCTGCGCCTGCCAGCGCCGCGTATTCGAATCTGAGAGTCGGATACGCAAAGTTGGGCTTTCGCAGACTTTGCTGTGATCCCACTGAAGCCACGATTTACTGCTACTCGCATAGGACTTTTGCAACTCCCGACCCACGTCCAAGAGTGACCGTCATTCGGTCCGGGCAAACCCCCCCCGGCAGCCCAACATGTTGCTATTGATAATCTCCTGCTAAATGGGACCCAGTGCCAGGATCCCTCAAGTGCGGGGTCTCTCCTTCTGGGTATCCTTCACTTGGGGGAACACTCCCCTCATCCACGTGCTTTCCAAAACGCAATCCTTTGAATGCATCCAGCTCTATGCTCGTTGTCCGCCCTTTTCGGGCTCCAAGGCATCCCCCCTCCCGCGAGGCTGAGGAGCGCAGCTTTTCGGAAGCCTTCAAAGAGCAGCCCTACGTCCAGTGGCTGCAGCTGCCGTTCGGCGAAAGATCCAACGGGGTGGGGCGATGCGTGTGTTTTTCTCGCCCTTTTTTTGAGAAAGCACCTTGGAGTCCCCAATTGAGCAACACGTACCAAAAAGAAGAGCACCCCTTTTTTCCCCATGGCACTGAAACTCAATGCCCAACACACAATCTTTGTCCTGTTGGTGAACCACCACAAGGGAAACCAGTGTAATTTGGCAGGATCGAGGATCAAATCTCAGTCACCCTCTAAATGGTGCTCTTTTTGGGGTGGTTTCAAAGGGGAACACCCAGAACATCACCAATTTGAGGGTCCCATATTTTAAGAGAAACCTATTTGGAGAGAAACCCATGGGATAGAAACAGATGTAGAGATACCAGGGCCCGAGTGGCCTCTTGCCTCTGCTACCCTGGGCCTATGGATGTGGTTCACCCCTTTTGGAGATGGAAATTTCGTCCCAAAAAAGGGCAGCCGCGCAAAAAGTACCCTTCAGATCTCCAGTACTCCATGGTCATTTTTTCTGGTTTCCAAAATAGGACTTGGACCCCAAGTGAACCCCGTGAAGGCCAGGTACTGGTTATGAGGTCCGTGTTCTCTACTACCTTGGGTTTCCTTTGAAGAACCCCGCCAAAGTGATTCCACAAACAATCGACATACTCAAATGATGAGTGGTGGAAGACACAAGTTGGTCAACTCCCAGGCTTTGCTCAAATTGATTTGGTTTCCGGGAATCCTTTAACCAAGATGAAAGCTAAAGGAACTCACGTTTGCATGGTCGGCTTGCATCGGGGGAATCGATCGCGCAGGATATCTTGAGAGAACGCGCCAAGCCACAGCATATTCCCAAACAGGATGTGCCCTTCAAACTTTAGACTTCCTGTTTGGAAAAGCAAGTTGGATCCCCATGTGAAGCGTAGAAAGCATATTGGACGGACCTAGTGCGTTGCTCCCTGAAACGAATCAGTCAGAAGGCAAGGTCTGTGGTCAGACAGGAACAAAGTGTTCAAACACAGGCATTTCCTCCTCAAAGCACGATGAGCCCTTTTACCTGAAACAGATTCTGTTGGACTTTGTTTCCAAACCAACTTTTGCCTTATCACTTCCTGAAACACTGAAGTTTGGTTTCTTGGTCTGCGTATATCGAGTTCAGATCTGGTTTTGGTCAGGTCGGCCCAGGGCCTGCAGACGGCTCTGAGCCTGGAGTGCTCCTTCGGCTCAGTCGCCCGCACCTGGGCGGCGCTGGTGGAGCCGCTGGCGCCGCTGCTGCTGCTGGCGCTCTGCGGCGTGGTGGAGCTGTTCTTCCGCAGCGCCGGCACCTTGGGCGAGAGACCGAGGCGAGAAAACCGGGGAGGTGTGGGTGCGTGTTTTTTTTCCCAACAGCTGAAAGCTTTGGGGTCTCAGCCCAGATAGGCTCCGGGGTGGTCCGGGGCGGCCGGTTCCACGAGGGTTCCTCCAGGGTTCCACCATGGTTCCACGAGGTTCTGGGTGGGCTGCGGGGTGGTGCGAGCACTAAAAAGAGCATGGCATGCTGTTGGGAACATCACCTGAGCTGATTTTTTCTTCGGGTGCCCGTTTTGGGCTGTTTTTTTTTGAAACAAAGAGGAACACCGGCATTTTTTGGGAGTTTGTTTTCTCTGGTCACGTTGCATACAGGCTGGACCTGATTGTCGCCCAGACTCTTTGGCGGTATGCAGTTGCAGCTGGCTGTCAAAGTGGGCTGGCAGTCTAGACTGGAACGGATAGCTTCACTCTTGCTGGCTTTTGTGTCCAATGCGGAGTTGTTGCAGGCACCTTGGGGGCCAGCAGCACGCCCCCTGCATCTCGCCCTGTGAAGATGAGCTCTGGTCGGCTTCAGAGGGCCTCTCAATTGATTGCGGTCCCCACCATGCAATCGCTTGCGTTCTCCCTGAACGGTGGGCGGCGGACCATGTCCTTTGAGTCTTTCCATCGTGCTGGTGATCCAGTGCTGGAGGAGCGGGAGTTGTGTTGAGCAGTACTCCATTGGTTTTGACCCCGGTCAGCCGGTTGCAGCAGCTGACCACCGACTCTACCTTGAAGCCAGTCGCAGGGTGGGCGGGCGGGCGGGCGGGCGGGCGGGCGGGCGGGCGGGCAGGCGGGGCGTGCTGCTTGGTCGGTCGGTCGGTCCGTCCGTCCGTCTGTCGGTCAGTAGGTCGGTCGCTCTGGTTGTTTGGTTGGTTGGTCGGCCAGTTGATCCGTGAAACAAAAAAGGCATCAAAAACAGACTTGTCGGGCTGCTTTGTTTAGAGTTTGTTTGGGGTGGGTTTAGGGTGGGTTTGACGTGGGTTTAAGGCGGGGGCGCAGTTTCCAGTATTTGTTTCCTTGTTTGCAACAAAATGGAGCCGAATAGTTATTCTTGATGCTTGCCGTGTTTCTTTTGATATCTAGAAATCCATGTTTTGATGCCTCACAAGGCTTTTCAGGACCCCCCGGAGCCGGTGCAACGCCCGGAGCCGGTGCGGCTGTCGCATTTTCAATCCCACGGTTGGTTGCAAGCGTTCACACGGTATCCCCACGAAGCAAAGCAGAATCCCAAAAACTGCCAGAGATTCGCGTTGGACGATTGCCACAGGGATGTTGCCGATGGGTAATGTTGATCCTTGATTGATACACCCCTCAGTCATTATCCAGTTTCCAACACCCCACTTCCGTGAGTCTTTTTTTCCGGAAAGACAGAACGAGGGCAGAGGTTTGGGGCTTGCGCTATTCCAGGGGTACCCATGTTTTTATTTTTTTTTTTTTTTTTTTTTTTTGGGGGGGTGACGAAACAAATATATATATATATATATATGTATAAGTGTATATATATATATATATACATCAATCAGCTCGTTTTTTGTTGTGCCTTTCCGGGGGGTGTTGGGGGGGGGGTTTTCTCCCGACCCGAGTTTGGTGCTCGGTAACCCATGCTACTTCTTTAGCGGCGACTTGCCACCAAGCCGGACTCTCCGCCATGTGTCCCTCGAGCCAGAACTCCATCTTTCAAGGGTGAAACGCGGTTGAAACCATGGATGGATCTCAACCCAGGGAA